CTTAACTCTTGGGATTTAGAAGGTTAATTTGTGATTTATTAGAACTTATTTATACTGCTAACACAATATGTATTTAATTACCCACCACGAAGTATTAAATACCGTTAAGGTACTGGAACAATATCTTATACAACAGGATCTAAGTGATACAGCCTGGTTAGATTATGATTAATCATCACTAAATTTGCAAAAGGCAATTAAAAACCTTTGAAGTATATCTTTTAAGCAAGTAAATCTTGAAACCTTTTACCAGATCAACTGTTTAATTGAGTAGCAAGTAAATTAGTAATTTTTTTTGGATTAGGGATCATAAATAAGTAGATCATAAAATCTATTGTTATATATAAATAAAATAATAAGTATTTGTTTTGTGAACTTGTTTAAAGCATAGAACTGTAGAACCTAATAATTAGGTATCATGTAATAGATAATGTACTGCGATCTTATTGGCTATTTTCTAATTGCAGCCTCTAAATACATGCTTTGAAGGTGGTCCTGATGATGTATATTTAGAAGGTCTGACTGTATTTTAATATATAGTTATCAAATTTGATAAACCAGTATAGATACCTTATATATTTCAATAATATATAAGCATATTTGATCAATTAAAAATATTTTTTATTATTTAAAGTTAATTTTCAATATATTTTTTATATATTTTGACTATTAAGACTATTTGAAATTAAAATTTTATTTAATATTCTCTCCCCACCATCTCTAAGAGCTTTCTCCTAAAATTAAACAGCCAATCAGAATATTCATTATATTATTGAGATTTTGTCAAATCACATAACTATAAACCAACCAATAATGATGAAGATTTTTTTAAGATATTATATAATGTTTGTTTAATTTAACCTCCTTCCCTACTGCACTTAAGCTTCAAAAGGAATGTTAAACAAAATTATAACTTCAAATGGCCTAATTAAGATGCTTGAGAATAGTATTCTGAGTTGATAAATATTTTACTAATCAATTAATTGCCAACTATAGTTGTGACTAATTGGTTGTTTATATTATGTAGTATTATCAGATAATTAGCCAATCAAACAAAAAAAATTAATATAAATCTGTTTAACCAGACAAAATTTTTCAAAATTGTATTTGTTGAATGATTAATTAATTAGTTGTTTAAAATTTTTCAAATTGACTAGTTAAAAAGTTGGCAACTAATTGGTTTTTCAACTAATGATTTAAAACACTACTTGAAAATACCCATAATTTTGCCAATTTAAATTAGCTTGTAACAAGACTGCATATTATATTACTATATATTAATTTTTAATCAATGAAAATTTAAAACTAATGTCTAAAACTTACTTAAGCTCTTTGTATTTCAAGCTATTCTTATAGATACAATTATTAAATAATAATTTTATAATAGAAGAAACAAGTAATAAATATACGTATCTTGAACAATTAATATAAAAAAAAATATAACTGATATATTTTAAAGAATTTCACTTATTATTAAAATAAAATAAGCATATTATATATATAACAAGAATTGTATTATAACAAATTGTAAATGAAATATAATCTAAATTACTAATTTCAAAATATATATCTTTAATACAAAACCAGATTATAAACAAATAAATCTAATATAAATTTTTTAAAAAAAATATATAATTGATTTATTTTTTTTAAAAAAGAATGTATATTTGAATAGACAATTTGTAATTTGTAAATCAGTTTCAACCTCTAGTTTGACACATATTCATTAAATCCTTCTTGCAAATAGTGCAGAATAAACCCTCAATTAATCGAAACAATCACAATTATAATACCTTAATTATTTGTCAAATCAATAACAACAAATCAAACAAGAGGTTTAGATTAAATTTAGTGACTCCACTCAGGGTCCAATGAAACAAATTAGTCCATATACATATACTAAATTACAATTTTTGTCTCATATAAGCACCTCGCGATTTGTGCTAGGTTACCTCGTATAAGGCACGGACTAATAATTAAATTTGTCACTCGATCACCCGGTATACTAAACAATACAACTACGAAAACACTATATGGGATTTTGCCTCACTGCTCACGTGGTCTACAGCCAGTCCCTAGTATCGACCCTCTCACACCTATTTTTTAACTTTTCCTCTTTGATATCCAAGCTGTTCAGTCGGGCTATCAAAGCACCTAACCCCGATATCCGGGTTGTTCACCCGGGCTATCGACACTCCTATCCCCCTAACCCATAATGCCCCCTTTTCCCGGCGGTGGGTGGGTGGGCATTAACGACGAAGCTAGACTTTCCGTCGAGCTAGCAGCAAAGACAAAAGAGGGTGACCCAAATTCCATTACTTCCATTTATATAACCCTTCCATGACCTCATACTTACCACTACTCAATCAATCAAACGATACTCATCACTAATACATCATACTCACCATCGCTCAATACATCATACTTACCATCGCTCAATACATCATACTTACCATCGCTCAATACATCATACTTACAAAACCGATCTACAAATCGTCATCCTGATGTCACGGGACTGGGTTGATATATACTGAGTTTATTCGCTTAGGGACGATCATTCATATCTTACATTCGGTGAAAACATAAATGACGTTAAAAGTAAATAAATATTTATATCTAACATGTAACTATGAAATTTTAAAACATAATTTTTTTTCTATTTTATAAGTATCTTACTCAACAACTTGCAAAAACTATCGATGAAGAATTGATGTCACAAGCTGGTGGTTTTTCTATAGACCAGGTTAACCATTAAACATTGATATTGGTATTATCAATATATTTAAATATATCTTTTTCAATTAATTCATATATACTTTTAAATAAGCTTATGGAACTTGCTGGTTTAAGTGTTGCTCAAGCAATTGCCAAAGTATATGATAATTTAAAATATCCACGTGTTTTAATTTGTTGTGGTCCAGGAAATAATGGAGGAGATGGTACTATAAAATTCTTATATTGAATAGACGCCTGTTTTGGATAATTTTGAACTTTTTTTATATAAAGGTCTTGTTGCTGCGCGTCATCTTTTTCATTTTGGATATAAACCAAATATTTTTTACCCAAAACAAACCAAGAATGAATTATATCAGGTATTGATCTTAAATTATTTGAGAATTTCCTTCTCTATTCTAATTAAATCATTTTTATATTTCTCAGCGATTGATAGTTCAATGTGATAATCTCAATATTCCGTTCACAAATAATTTGTCTAACCAACTTAAGCAAAGTGATCTAGTAATAGACGCTATATTTGGTAAAAAAAAAACTATATATATACATAATATCATTAATTGGATTTTGTGTGTTTATAACATACAATTATATCAAATAATTTTCCGATTCAAAGGATTTAGCTTCAGTGGTGAAATAAGAGCACCTTTTGATCAAGTTATTCAGGTGAAGAATATTGTATTTCTATAAATCTTCCAATTGATAAATTTCATTGGAGACGTTAAGTAATCATACATATGATAATCTGATTGTAGATGCTAAAAGAAACAAAACTACCAATTGCTTCAAGTTAGCATTTTTTTCATAAAGCAATTGCTTTCGTTATATACTCATCTAATTCGGAATGCTTTATTTTATACCACAATATAAGTTGATATACCGTCTGCATGGGATGTTGAGAAGGGTACAAAAAGACTCTAAAACCATGGATTATCAACCGCAATTTTCTTAACGACTTGATTCTTAGTTTAATTTTATATATACACATTTTAGGCAATATTAATGGTCGTGGTTTTACGCCAGCGATTTTGATTTCTTTAACATCTCCGAAACTCTGTGCAAAACAGTACAATGGGATACATTTTCTTGGTGGCCGGTTTGTACCCCCGTGAGTATATTTGTTTCGTCTTCCTCAAAAGGGTATTTTCATATACATATGTGGGAAATCGAAATCAGAAATCAAATTCATAATAATAAACAATAATCATCTGTGATTCTTAACGTATTATTCTGATTTCCGATTTTCATTCCCGTCATAATTTGGATCATAATTCTCCTTTCTATATATTCATTACAGAAACTTAGAGAAAAAATATGACCTTCAGCTCCCTTTATATCCCGGTACTGATCAAGTAATAGATATTACCAATGTGTCGGGTGAAAAATTATAATTACGTATCATTAAGTATCTTGTTTTAAGGTGAGGAAATCGCCTAAATTGTTTCTTTCTGTGATATGTATTTGCCATAAACATTTAAAATTTTCTTTATTCACATTGATGCGAGGAATAAATTGTAAAAATACGTATGTTGTTCATAATAGCTTGATGTGAATGGTTATTGATATACATAAAAATTTTAAATATTGAAAAATAACTATTAATAATAAATTAATCGGTAAATTTCCTATTTGGTGACGGACCAAAAAGTAACACGCGAATCTCCGGAAGCATCTGTGTACAAAGTTTGTCAATAAAGTTAATAAAATTGACCAAATTTAGAAGTTTAAAAAAATTTTTCAGTAACTCTACCTCTTCTTGAGCTAAGGATAATCGTTTCTCAAGTGTATTATTAATCCTTATACGGCCAAAATGAGATGACAAAATCACACCTCCAGCACTAAAGTTTGGATCAATTTAAATTACATGACAAAAAACATATAATAAAAGAAATAAAATTATTTATTACATTACCTTTCTTCTGGTAAGCTATCGTCAATTTCAATACTCACTGATGAGTGAGTTGTATCCATATAAGTCTTGGAGGCAATTTTAATGGCATTTTGAGCAAGATCCAATTCTGATTTCTTGACGGTAATTGTTACATTTTCATCCATTAATTGATAAAGTCCCTATAACAGTAAAATTTGTCCATTAAAATTATTATGCATATATTTTAATAATAATAATAAATAAAAATCAAAAATTACTTGTAATATCAAATCTTTCAATAAATTGCGATATGAATCCCTATCTTGAGAAATCTTCTTGAGTTGAGATTGAGTTTCTGAAAAAAGTTCATCAAGCATTTGTTGACGTGCTTGAAGAACCTTGAGGCGTGATTTATTGATATGGTTCGACTGTGCACTACATTACGATTATAATTAATTCCGGTTATTACTAGAAAGTTGTTAAAAAAATAAAATGATATTTTTTAAAAAATGTAAATCATAATGATCAATAATACATTTTCTTTTGAACTTCTGCTTGTTTAATCTTTCTTTGAAAAGTGGCTTCAATATTGATAGATTCTTGGCGCACAAGCTTAGCCTGCAATGCACAAAAATTATCAATTTAGATTTGTACTGAAATATGACGTATCAGAGATAAAGTCATTAAATATTAGCATTAGGCTTTGACATAAACCTTTTCAATATTAAATTCTTCGTCAGCCTGTATTTAAATACATATTGTGTTAGCAGTATAAATAAGTTCTAATAAATCACAAATTAACCTTCTAAATCCCAAGAGTTAAG